TAGATTTTTAAGCAGGAGCTCAAAATTTAGAAGGAAAGTATTGAAGCTATTATTCTTAATTGTAAGTAGTCACGTAATTAGAAATAATTAATAAAGTTAATAATGTTAAAGAAGTTGACCAATTTGAAAGAATATAAATTTATTAGATTGTTAATTACAATAGGATTTCCAAAATTTGAATCATAAGTATAACACATTATGCTGTCACGAATATTTTGCTGAATTAATTAAATCAAAAATTCCATTTGTATCAACATAAAATAAAAATAATAATTTGGAATTTCATGTATATAAATAAAATATCTTTGACCTTCTATAAATTATATAGTAGAAATTATTCTTTATAATTTGAATTAATATTATAAATACTTAAAATATTTGATATACCATAAGTATTATATACTGTTTTGACAAAATAAAAGTATTATCTGTATTTAATATTCAAATTGATTTAAATAAATATGTTGTGACGGGTAAAATTTTAGATAGATTTAATTGGTAGAATATGAAGTCAATTTTATTGTCATGTAGATCTTCTATGAAGATCATTTTATCTATTTTATTGTCATTGATCAATTATGTAAATTCTTAGATGTCAATTTTATTGCTTTTGATAATCACGTAGATCATAGATGTCCATTTAGTTGCCTGCAGATCTGTCAATTTTATTGACATAGCAACTTTATTACTTAGTGAAATGGTAACTTTATTTTCTTCAATATATTTAGTTTAGTTTATTTTATTATTATTCAAAATGTATAAATATTTCTGTATTTTCTTTGAGTCTCAGCATTGATAAGATATTAATTTTTTAAATACTGAACTTATATATTATATTAATAAAGGAGTATAATTAACCAAGTATAAACTTATCCTTTGCAAACCTATTAAAACTGTTATAAATTATCTGTGACCCTTTGCATTTATATAAACTCTTTTGTTAATGAACTTATTATATGATATTATAAAGATTCACTGTATTGACTTGGAGTCTCTAAAGCGTAATCTCTGAAATATCTTTAAATTATTTTTATGTTTATTTTGTGTTTATTTTATGTGTTTATTATTGAGAATAATTCTTTGACGTTATTGTGAATCCTCACCCATGATTCCTTAAGTAATTGTTTTAGTTTTATTTATCCTTTTAAGATTTTATTTAAAGTTATAAAACTAACGTAATAACATTATTTTGAAATTTTATATTAATGTATCAACCTTAGATATAAATAATCTCAATTTTATTTTGCACAAAAAAAAATTGCAATTTTCAATCGAGACATTTTCAGTGATTTAAAATATTTGATAAGAAAAAAAAATAAATAAAAAAAATAATAATTATTACTTGAAATTGGTTACAGTACATTATCCCAAAAGTCATTTTCTTAAATGAAAGTTTTTTCAAAAAGTATGATCTATATTATGATAACTTTGCCTAAAGTTTTCAAAAAAATGTTTATTCAGAAAAATAGTCTTCAGATAATATCAAACATTTTTTGCAATCGTATATATAGTGGGTTATCAAAGTATCCATCACGTGCTAATTATCAAATAATTTTTAACCAAGTATTTTTATTTAAAAAGGCAATAGATTAGCATAGAAATTATTAAATTTGATGAACTTTATTTTTATGTAATTATAGTGTTTTTTTTAAAGAATTTAAAAAAAAATTCTTTTTCAAATTGCTTTTTTTAAAAAAAAATATTCAAAAGCAAAGAACTTTCTATTTTAAATGCAATGAAATAATTGGACTTCATAAAGGCAATCATAATTCTACAGACATTTTCAGAATTTTAAATATACTGAAAACAATAATAAATGATATAATTAGCAAGTGAGAAAAAGATGAATTAGTATCTTCTACTCTTCAGTCCAGAAGGCTATCTGTTTTTAATGATCATAATAAATAGCATCTTGTTCAATTACTTATAAATGATAGACAGCAATCTGTTTATAAACTAACTAAAAAATTTAATGAATTGGAACTTAAAATTTCAAGTTCTTCTACCATATATTGTAACCTTTATAAATTAGGATATTATAGGTATGCTGGGATTAGAAAACCTTTAGGTTTAAAAACAAATCATCTCAAATGTCTTAATTGGTGTAAAGAAAAAAAAATTGGGAAAAGGAATAGAAAAATATAGTTTGGAGTAGTGAATCTCAATATCTTTTATTTTAAAATAACTCTCACCATTGGATTTGGTAAAAATCATATGAAAAATATGATATTGATTGTCTGTTACCTACGGTTAAAAAAGAAATTCCTAGTGTAATAATTTAGGGTTGTTTTACTAATGATAAACTTGATCCATTAGTAATTATTAGAGAGAATATTAATGCAAAAAAATACTTAGAAATTCTAAAAAAACATTTTTTACCCTTTTATGAATCTTTTAGCAATGAAGATATTTATTTTTTTTTAGGATGATAATGCTACTATACATAGAGCAAAAACTGTAACAGACTGGAAATGTGAAAAATTAATAAGTTTTTTTTCTATGGCCAGCTCAAAGCCCAGATTTAAATCCAATTGAACATGTATAGAATTATTTGAAAAGGAAAATTCGTAAGCATAGTCTAAGGCTAAAATCTACAGAAAAACTATTCTTCTTATTATTGCAGGAAGAGTGGTTGAATATTGATTTAGAATATTTGAAAAAGTTAATTTTTAGTATGCCAAAATGTGTATATGCTGTAATTAAAAATAAAGGATACCTAACAAAGTATTAATAACATTTTTAAAAAGTTTATTACATTATCTTTTTAAAAATATGTATTTTATCTTTTGTTAATAAAAATGTTTTGAAAAAAATTAAGTATCAAAATTTTAATAAAATTTGTATCACATTAGATCGTTAAAATGTAACAGATACTTTTGATCACCCACTGAATCTGAAACTTTCAAACCATATTGAGGATTATAATTTTATGAAACCATACTTATATAATGTTGAAAGATATTATGAAGAATATCTTCAACATTTCTTGGTCACTTTTTTTGGCTAGTCACTTCTTTCTTTCTTTATCAATCTATTTTCAGGCCTACCTATGTCTAGTACCTATAGATCTATAAAAAGCGAGGGTTAGATGAGAATAAATTAAACATAAACAAGTAAAAATTAAGGAGATGGCTGGACGCAGGAATATATTAATGTAAATTTCATTATAATAAAGGAACATACATATCCTGATTCCTCTCTTAAAATCAGTAGATCCTTATCAAAATTTATATTAATAGATCCCATGAAGCTTAATAAGGACGTGCTAAATAACGCATTTACCATCAGAAATTGTAAGGGTAAGTACCCAAACCCCATTAAAACGTGTTTAACAGGTACAAGAACCTGGAAATTCCCATCTGTCTAAATTTATATTCATCATAATTATCTTTTTGCCTTTTAGCGGTCACAAATTTCCTGTAAGTAGCTTCAAAAAAAAAAAAAAAATGAAAGATGTGCCTTATCCTTCTCTGCATATTTGTAAATCAAAAATATTGTATAAGGAATATTTTTTCGAAATTTTCGGATGAGGTAGTTAAGAAATATAATATCAGAAAAGTTGAAAAGTAATCAGAAAAGACGCGTCAAGTTCACATTTTTGTCAAACTATCGGACGGACGGTTAGAATTTGACCATTATGTTAGACTATGACGATCATTTAGTTGAAAGATTTTTTTTTAATTTACAGTATAAAATTTACATAATTAATTTTATTTTTTATTTTTGCTCAATTGTTTCTATGAATGGTGAAATTTATGAGTTTCTTATTTTTCTAAACATTTTTAATATGATCTCCATTGACGATAATCGAAAAAACCAGCAATTTTATCAAAACCTTTGTAAGTCATTTAACAGTGTTCTGTAAAGTTGTACAGTCAAAAATTGAAGCGCAAAAATTTATATGGAAAAGTGGAAAATCACTCCTATAAGTGAGCATATTACAATTTATATTACTCCACCTATATTAGGTATACGTTCATATATCTGAGGATTGGATTTGACCTAATAAATAGACTTCATTTTAGGAGCACTTAATCTTTTTCGAGTTTCGATTCTAAGATTCGATTTTGCTGCGATTTTTTTTGATCAAAATTTAAAAACACGACATTCATCAAAAAATTTATTTGTCAAAAACCGTATTACAAAAAATCTTATTTTGAAATTTTGATTCTTACTTTTCAGATCAAATGATCTTTTTCGGGTAATTTTATTTTATTTATTGCTTTCTTAATCATTGTGTCCATCAATTATGTTAGGTTAGTAGAATCGATTCCAATTCCCACATATGGATGTAAGCTATTTACTTTGTTCGTAATTCGATTTTAATAGCAAATTTCCCAATATATCATTAATGCAATTTGGCTTTTGTGGATGGATGATGTAATCATTTCAATTCATGTAACTTTCTTTTATAATTATAATTTATTTTTCAAGACAATTATAAAAATCAGATTTACAAGTTAAATTTATTCGATAAATAAATACACTGTACTACTTCAGAAAATTTTATTTCGCATTTCAAAATGAAATGGTTTTTTTCTGAGTTTAATATAATTTCTGTTAGAGTTACTGTACATTAAATCATCTTTTTAGTAATTAAAGAAAAAATATAAAATTAAGAAAAGTTCTTGTACCAGTTCCGCTATCATAGCCTGAAAAAGGACCTAAAAAAATCAACAAACATAACATTTAAGCCTTACCACAGTAGCACAATCGAAAAAGAAAATCAACTATTACAAGAAATAATAAAAATTCTACCATACCAAATTCTGACCTGAAAAAAAAAATATCTTCCCAAAAATATTATCTTAGTAACGTAAACTGAAAAAAAAAATGTTAGCTTTCAAAATCAAGAAAAAAATAAATAAATAAATCATTACAACCAAAAAAAAAAAATTCTTTATTGATCAAATTTGTTATGAAATCATAAAAACAAAGTAAATTGAAAGAATACAAAATATATCAAACATAAAAATGATATTAAAAAAAAATAAAAAATTTTAATTCTCCAATGGTGGATGATTCTCACAATCTTTTGCTAAATGGTCATTGCTTTCCCAACTTAAAGCAAAGTTTCGATATTAGAACAAATGCTGCTATAAATTATATAAATAAATTCTATTCTATAGTATAAAAATAATATAAAAATTAATAATAAATACATAGTATTAACCGGTCGGTCAACCAGTCAGTAGCTCAGTTAAAGATTTTTGACCGACCGCTGACCACCCATTACCATCTTTAGTAGGCACTTTCTCTTTTTTCCTTTATGGGACGATGACGATGTTGGTGACGAAGTGTTCCAGAAGCTATAATTAGCTTTAAGAACATCGGTCTATATAAAAGAATGTTAATGAGAAAATAATAATTCATAAAAGAATACTTAGATAAAAAAAATTATGATGGATGGCTGGATGCTGGGTAAGATAAGTTACCACTCCCATTAAAAATTAATTTAATAGGTACCTCATCCGAATATAATCATATGCATATTATACTTACTTTTTTGCTTTTCAAGAGTCACTGGGCAACGTCACGGACTTCTTGAGACATTTTTTCATCGTCATTAATTAAACTTAACGTTTTATAGAAGGAAAAGTGGGCATCCATTTTATCAACGTTTTCATAGTTATCAACTAATAAAGTTTAAAAACTATGAAGGGAACACTTTTCATAAGCAAATCAAATATACTGATACTGAATGGGCACAAGCGGTGCAAATATCTGACATGTTTAAAAAAAGTTTTTTCAAAAAAGTATTAAAAAAATTTAAAAAATCAAATTAAAAAAAAATCTGTAAAAAATTTATATAGTTAAATAAAAAAAATTTAAAAGAAGTTAAAATATTTAAGGTCAAATTTACCTTTCGATAATTTTATCGTTCAAGATTAACGCGTTAACTTGTTGCTGAGTCACAAAATTAATGTAATTTTACTGTATTTTTCAATTTTCACAATTTGATATACTTCAGTAAGAGAAGTTGCTAAAGGACACGTTCACAACCTTCAAATTTAAAGTCTATTTTGCACTTACAGGTTGAAGCCCCAAGCGTTATAACAGCCGAAACCATTTGTAAGCCTTTACTGCCTGGCAGCAGTGACCAAGAGTAAACGAGATGGTGTGTCAGTATGGAAGGAAAGATATATCACGAATAACAAAAATCATCAAAGACTGAAGCATTATTTGTAAGTAAAAAGGAATTTTGTCATATTTTTTTTTTAGAAGGAATATTTCTCGGAGAGAAATAAGAAAGGGAGAAGGATTTTTTTTTAGGTTTTTTTTTTTTAAGATATATAAAAAAAATCGGTTTTGCAGATCTCTACCTAATTATGTATAAATTAGAATGCGTCATGATTACAAACAAATTTTTTATTGTACTACATAATTAAAATTCATTTTTCCCTTAACGTTAAATAATATCATTCCATTCCCGCAGCTAATGTAATTGTAATTTTAGTGATTACAGAAATCGTATAACGAAATTTCTCATTTTAATTTTATTATACTAATGCATTTAAAAATATAAGAAATCTATGATTAAAGTTATAACATTTTAATAAATAATGTAAATGAATAATTTTAATCATAGATTTCTTATTTTTTTTTTAATGCTGTATATATCGTTAGTAATTTTTAATAAATAAAATTGAAAAAAGAACAAATTATTATATTAAATTTTTTTTCATTATACGAAAAGTATAAGTTGATATTACTGCTGTGGATCGCGGTAAATATCGTGACGGATTTATTTAACTTTCATTTATGGAATATTATTTATAATCATTATTGTTAACAACTCCTTTTTATTTTCTAAAGAAGCAAATCTATTTTTTTACGATTCTCAAATCGGTTGTTCTGCGTCATCAGACCACCCGAGTTTATTTTTGGTAATTATTTTACTTCGCATATTTAGAAAAATTGTTAATTATAAAATTCAGAATATCCTCCTTTCAGGTTTCTGGTCCAAAATTTTTCTTATCTCCCATCGAGGATAACAAATGAAATAAATAATAGAATCGGATTGTGTACCAGAGTATTCTTTTAACGTCCAGGTTTACTTCTCTATAATAAACATAATTAAAAATATAAACAATCAGTATACCTTTGAGTAGCTAGTTCTGTAAGAGTTAAAGACATGACATTACTAACCATTTCTTATATCATATATCATTAAATTATCCTAACAATTAAAAAAGTAGGTTATAATCATAAATAAATCATTTTATATTTTATGGTAAATACGGTAATTAAATTACTTCGGCATGTTCCAATTCGATGTGTGATGACCATTATAAAGCATTACAATTCTATTGTGTCTTGATAAAGAAAATAATAAATAGCATGACATTTATTATATTTCTTGAAAGTTTGGGTCATCATCTCATTAAATTTCCTAAACTTCTTACTGATTATGTTGATTCTTTCTATTTCTCTTATCTCATACCAAGTGCAATCATTTCGCGCTGAGTGAATTCCATGGAATTTAAAGTAGAAGACATTTTACGATCTTCTAAAGAGATAAAATATATTAAATAGATACCGTAAATAATTCTATAATTAGTAATGTAAGGTCTTGAACTTTGATTGAATTCACAAAACATACTCAATTACATCCGTCATACCGTTTATATTATAATAAACTCAAATTTTTAATTATAATTGTTATTTAGTTTTTTCATACAACTTTCCTTGTAAATTCCTAAAAGAAAGAAATCAAAATCCAAACTAGCGGATAATTATTTATTGCGTAATTGTAAGTTGTTTCACTCTAGCCCTTCAAAGTATTTTAATTTTACAGAATCTCATTAGCTTGCTTATAATTTGAGGCCATGAAATACTCGTTTGATGGGATATCCTTCGTTATTAATTTTAGGTAAAAAAAGATTGTAATGAATCATGATGCACAGTCAACTGCAGCAGCAGCCTTTTTTTTAAAAAAAAAATTACCTGTATTTTATGCAATAAAGTTACAATCCATATTAATATATTTCTTGCCTACCGGATCGTGCTTCCATTATATTCTGCCCTTTAGTTTTGCTAATTAACGAAAATATACGAAATATTATTATTCAGCTAAAAAAAGACAATTTTTATTAGTGTAAAGATTGAAAATTTTAAATAAGTTGAATATTTACGAAATTTTTAAAAACAAATTTGCAAATTGTGACAAGATTTAATAGGTCTCTTAAGATAATAAATAATATTAACAATATCAGACTACAAAAAAAAAAAAAATCTTACTTTTTTTAGAATGTACACCTGATATATTTCTTCTAACCTTTGATTTTCAGCAAAAGCTTCATTAACATTTATTCTCCTTATCAAAATTTTTGTTGAGTTTCATCAATTTATCTACAATTAATTTTTGTTTTGTTAATTAGAGAAGGAGAATCATCAACACGTTGTCAGAATAAAGTTTATCTGCGTGAACATATTTACAAGTATCACGAAATCTACTGTACATTAAACATTCCTCGGTTTTAATGTTTACCATATAATATCTTTCTTGTACGATAATTCTATATTTTGCAATAATTCTTATCATCATAATATCTAACTTCCCTTCGGATGAATTTAATTTATCATCATATAATATCAGGTTGACCTTATACAACTATATATACAGTAGGTTGTCATCATTACAATAAATTCAAGAGAAAATCTAAATTGAAATGTAAGGATTTATTATCATTCGATTTCTTTCTTTTAATGTTGATCATTGGAAGCAAACAAACCCCGGATAACAATGTCTCAAAATAATAAAAAAGTGTTAATGTTTACCTCTTAACTACACGTTATTCGTAATTTATTTCATTCAAAAGTATTAAATATCTTTAATTTGCAATTGATCAATATTTAATTTCGATATTTATTTTTTAAATTTGGAATCACAAAAAAAACATGAATTGGATAATATTTTTGGTTGACAATTAGAAATTACCCAAAATTAAATACCTTACATAGAAGTCATAGCAAATATCGTGGTTTTATTATTCTTGATTTGAACTAAGGCTTAACTAAACAACTATACCATCTTAAGATTTACGATAATGGAAAAAGTAATAATAGCAAAAAATATGCACCGCATATACTTCCAAATAAGCCACCTGAATAATGAAAGCTAAAAAGTAAAAAAATAAAAACAAAAATAAAAAAACTCGATATAATCGCCTACGGCCCACAGCGATCCAACCCGAACAATAAAAAAAGTAATTTAATGAAAAAATAAAATCAAACCAAAAAGAAATTACCTAATAGAAGAAAGAAAAATAAAAAAAAAAATAATAATGACAACATAAAAAAAACCTTTTATGGATCCATCCCAAAGAGAAACCAAAAGAAAAGAATAGGAGCTTATGATTTGGAAAGTGCCCCAGAGTGATCGAACACAGTGTTGGCAAATTACCTTGAAATTACCTCAAAATGAAAATTTTTATATAAATTGTATGTCAGAATGACCAAGGCCAAGGTTATTTAAAAATAATTAGTAAATGAATGCCATTATTGATTAAACCTTAAATAAAAAAAACAACAAAAAAAAAATATAAAATTGATTCCCTGATTCTACGTAAACTTTCCGATCAAAAGTGATCAATCCGGTGTTAGACATGGAATTGTACCGAAACCAAGCTAAACATCTTAAAATCTCAATTATCTCGAAGGCCTTTCCTAAGAGAACTTGACGATTAACAAACAAAACGATTTATTATCACAATTCACTTGTGTAGTAGGTTATCACGATCAATCCTGTAATGAAGACAAGGTTGAAAGTGTAAAATAGAAACTTTATTAGTCTGTAGAGTTAGTAAGTCTAGTCTCAAGACTTCACGTGTCATATGTGTTACATGTTTCTATCAGTGGTGTGATCATCTGAGGAGCAGTACGATTTGCGAATTAAAGGACAAAATAACCAAATTTAGGATAAAAGATTATCGATCCTTTTTTTTTTTTTTTTTTTTCCTAAAAATGCAAAATAATCATATCCTACAATTATAATTATTGGTGCAGGATCTGGTGGACTATTACTTTATCATGGAATTCAGAAATGTTTGAATAATAATGGGAAAAAATTTAACGTAATTAGATCGATGGTAAGGATTTGCTGTGTCCATTAACTCTCATGGAATGAGATCATTAATTTCTCGTCTTCCGGAGTCTCTTGTAACTCGTCTTCCCGAAGTTATTCCAATTCCAATCTCCGAAAAAGAAAGTCGTGAGATATTATTGATTGATGATAAAGGAACCGAATTATTAGAGTGGACTCAGCAAAAGTTAAGTCTTTATTTGAACTTGCAAATGTGTCTAATTCTAACGCTTATGCTTTTAGAGATAGATTAAGGGATTTAATGTTAGAAGGAGTGAATATACAATGGGGAAAGAAATGTATTGGATACGATGAAGTTAACGATGAAGTTTGGGCAATCTTTGAAGACGAAACGAGAGAAAGGGGGGATATATTGATCGGATGCGATGGAATTCATTCTCCAAGTATTAATATTATTTTATTTTTTTAAAAAAAAAAGATCAAACGTTCTTAGATTTTAAATAAGCTTTCGTTCTTTTGTAGTTCGGAAACAAAGATTACCATATTTGATTATGGAATTACACAAATTGTCATGAACGTCATTTTAAATAAAAAGCTCATTGATCGGATTATTACTATGATTGGAAATACTCTAACTCATCAATCAGTCTCTCAAGATGGTGACGCATTAACTTTAGTTTTGCGCTTAATACCAATAGAAACTGATATAACAGCAAACACACCAGATGATCAGATTCATTATCCAGCAATGATTCACTACTCCTATTATACGCACTGGGACACGAAAAATCAAAACGTTCATGTAAATGATGATGATCCTCAATCAGTTATTGATCATGTTAAAATTTAATCAAACATAGAAGACCTTGTGAGTTGACTGATCTTTATTTGGAATTGCTCTCGTTGGTGCCAGTTTAGTCACCAAAAGAATCCGAGATTTCATTTTTCGGATCTTATAATCCACCAAGGAGAAGGCCGATTCAAGATATTAATCCGAGTTCTATTGAACCTTGGGTATCTTCAAGAGTCACTTTACTGGGTGATTCCATCCATGCCATGAATCCTGTCGGGGGTTTAGGTAGGTACTTCTAGACATGTAATTAATGTACTTTAATTTTCTTATTTACATCGTTCATTTAATTTGAATTAGGTATAAGTAGTGAATTATGAGATGCTGATTTACTTGTGAAATGTCTTTCAAATTATGAAAAAGATGGAGTTAGGCAATGTATACAAAATTATGAGAATATTATGAGAATAAGAGCATCTAGAGACGTATTGAGTTCACGAAGTCCTGGTTTAATTATAAATATACCTAAAAGCAAATATAAATATTTTTTTAAGAGTATTTATTTGTCAGGAAAGCTTTAAATGTATTAAATAATTTGTTTGGTAAAGAAAGTTTATTTATTATGAACCTCGATAATTAGATGATATTAATATTTATAACAAATGAGTTCTTATAAATTAATAATAATTCATAAATTTTACCTTTTTAAATAATCTATATGTTCTTCAATTGCTTAAGAAATATACGGTTCTGATCTTTAAGCTGAAGATCAAATTTGCTGTTAAGTTGCAAAGTTCAAGTTACCTGAACTACTTAATAAATTATTTGATCTGAAATTTTTAAATTTAGCCTAGTGGATATATTAGATATATGATCATTAAAATTTCTGCGTCACAACATTCAAAAAAAAAATAGATTAAAATCAAGTAATAAAGAAAATTCTAACTCTATATTTTCGGTTTCCGTTCCCTAGTCTTATTAAACTGAACGAGTAGAAAATATCAAATTAAAATAATTTTTTCGTCAACTCTACCTTTTTTTTGGTTTATCAAATATTTTAATATATAATCATGTCTGAGCAAATTTTCATAATTGTGTATAGTTAATTTTGGAACCTAAAAATTTAATCATACTCATTTTTGCTTAATATTGTTTCTACTGTTTATTATTTCACTCATTTTTTTTTTGATTATTAATCACCTTTTTTTTCGATTTTGTAGGTTAGGGACATTCGGACGAATGTGGGCGCGGCACTTCGGACGGACCCTTCGTCATGGTGGCATAAGCAGTTTCTATCTTTCTTTTAAAGTTTAATTATTGTGCACATGTATTTTGTGTAATGTATATTTATTTAAACAATATCTCATTTTTTTACAGATACAAAAAAAAAGATTTACTTTTCTTTTTTTTTTTCACAAAAGGAAAATCAAATTTTGTAGGCACTGGAGTGGTGTCATCAGATCTCTTCAGATCTCTTCACAAACAAATAATTAGACATTTTCATAAATGCAATAATACAAATATCAATCATTTTATTTATAACTTAATAAGGATATATCACAACTAAATATTAAGAAAGCAATACAATAATCAAGAAACAATTTATTAAGAATTTTTTGACTTTTCTTCAATGACTTTTCGACTGTCCATTACGCAGCCACCTAGAATTTTGTAATTACATAACATCAAACCTCTTCTCTTTAAAATGTCTTGCTCATGAAAGACCATCTAAATAAGCAGATTTCCCAACGTATATTGTATTGTCTATTGCTTTGAACTTTTCATAATTTGAGTCCTTCAATATCCGAAGCATGTTCTAAGTTACTATAATCTCTTGTAGAAATTTGCTTCATCCCGTAGTGGCTGAGATATGTAAACATGATTTTCAGCAAAAAGGCTTTCTTTGGGCTGGGTCTAGGCAAAATTTTTTAATTAATATACGGCCCGTTGTAGTTGTTGCGCACCTGAGTAGAATTAAAGTAGCCTCATTTATTAGATAGTAAATTGCCTATGAATTAGCTTTTGTTTTCTAGCCACCCGTGGCTTCTTCCTTTCTTAAAACTAATCCTTTTATAAATATTTCCATTTTTTTGAAGGTTCATTTGAATAATTTCGAATATTGTAAAATATATTAAGGAATAAATATTCGATTTCAAGAAAAAAGCTATAAATTGAATGAACTTTTGTCATCGCCCAAATTTTTTATGTTCTATTTATTAAATAACAATAAAAATGAAATTGTTACACACATTAATTTTCGTGTTGATCGCATTATCATCAGCTAATTCACTCGACACAAAGAATGAAGATGCAT